TAGGGAAGCAGTGCAGTAGATTGCTTGAGGATGACACAGAATCTGCATCACAAGAGATTTTGAAAAACAAGTGGGGAATGGGTGCGAATGACAAAGGCAAAGCTGGTTCTGCCCTGGAAGAGGGGCAGGGGCCAGGGGAGCCCTCCTCTCCTGCTTTCCGTGGTCATGTCTTCGGTTGCTGTGCTGGAGATTGGGTTTGAGTTCTCAGAGCCAACTGGGGTTACAGCCAGTTGTGTCCAGACAGCCTGTGCAGGAGAACAGTGTGTTTTCTGTGTACTTCCTCAGAATGTCTTCATTTTAATTCATTGCCCAAAGGGCTGCACAACATAAAGAAGAAGGCAGCACTCCAAGGAAAACATCCCTGACCGACCTTCAGTGCCCCCAGTTAATCCCTCTGCTCAAGAGGCCAACTCACTCCACCCTAGTGCCGGAGCATTGATACTTCACATTATCAAGGAGTTTGGGTTCAGTTTCAGGACTTAAGCCAAACCGACGATAGATTCAATCACTAACTCCATATTTTCTAGGAAATGTAGACATCACTTACATGTAAGTGTCCCTTATCACATCCATGAGGTATGCAAACCTATAAAGTGTCATATTGAGCCACACCAGCAGCCCATCTAGATAATCAGGCTGTGACTGCTATTTGACTGCCCCTGTGTATTTCCCTGTAAATCAGCTCCTTTCTCCAGAAAGGCACCTTTGGAGGTAGTTCCACATACTGGCAATTGGCAGGAAGGCAGCAGGGCAATAGTGGCGTCTTGCAGTCATGAATGGTTTTGCCCAGGTAGAAGCATTATAACTTGTACACACAAAGTTATAGGAAACAAGCAACTCCCTCCAGCAATACTGAAATGAAAATATAATGTCCCTTTCTGAGACTGAATCTAAATGATATTTCACATCCTATCATTCCTTACAGAGCTAGGAATTGGGGAAAACAGATTATTCCTCTGAAGAATCCTTTCTGTTTGAAAGACTGTGCTTTTGCATGCTCTCTAAGGATGTCTTCATTTTTCCTCCTCATCTACAGGACTCGATGACACACACACAGGAGGGAAGCATTTTAAGTAAATCAGCCCAGCCTGACTTCAAAGGAAAGTGAGCTGGACAAGATGTGCCAAAGGGTTTAACATCTGCGCCATTCCTATAAAGCATTGTTTTGTCCTTCATACATATTGAGGAGACACCCACATGTGTTTTCCACTTTCATTGTGAAAGCAGGAAATGTTTAATTAAAATTAAGTTTAACCTACTTTGTTTTCTCTTCATGCCGAAGTAACATCAGCTGTCAAGAGGGAGGATCTGCAAGTCTTGGCACCCAAATAGTCTCACCCGGCAGAGGGACAGAGCCAGAGAGATCCGGACAGATCCGCTGGGATGATATCTGTGTCCCTGGGGTACGGGAACAAATTAGGTTGTGTACCAGGAAGGGCAGAGCTTGCTGTGTGCTGAGGAAATTCAACACGGACAGTTGTGCCGGGCCAAACTTTGTGGTCATTCATACAGAATGACAGAAAACAGGGATGGCAAGAACCTCACCAGGAGATGCGGTCCACCTGTCTTACTCCAGTCTGCCACCCTGATGAGCCACAGTGACTTGGAGTTATGAGACTTGAAGTGAGGGCACCTGCAGATATTGTACTACAGGATCCTCCCCAAACCCAGAAGCCACAGCTTGAGGTACCAAATTAGATTAAGAAACTCAGAGATGTGACTGATTTATATCCTCACCAGATCAGGCCAAAGAAAGGACACTCCACCCAACCTAATATCCAGATCTTATTATGTGGTGCCTTTCATTTGCCAAGGGCTGAAAGGCTTTTCAGTCCCCTTTCACTGGCCACATGGTAACAGAAATCTTTGTGTTATGTGCTAGTAATGCAGAAAACAGTCCTATGGTCATGAGTGGTTTGGGAGGAAGTTTAAGGCTGCAGATTCTTTTCCCAGAGACAACTCCACTTCCAATTACATATCATTATGTGTCGACCACAGCTTCGCTTCACCAAGGGTGGTACTCTAAAGTGCTTTTTGCTATGGCACCACAAGTGCCAGGAGAGGCACTAGTTCTCTCAGGGAAAAATAAACTGTGTAACAGGAACTCCCCATTCAGTGATCATAAGTAAAGTCCCTGGAGGCATCCGCCAGGCCACTTTGGAAAACTCCGTAGCACCAAGGTAGGCTCTGATCAAAGTATTCTAAAGAACAATTATTTCCATTAAAATTTTCACCAATTCAGATATTCTTGAAATTGAAGTATTCTTCAAATAATTCAGTGTTTTGGCTCAAATCTCTCTGTGCAGTTTTCTTGCAGAAGAGTGACCCAAGTCAAGCTAGAAGCAAATTAACATTTTCAATTTTAATAAATTTCCTGGGCAGGTGTTAACTTTCTCATTTGCAGGGAAATTTTGAGGCAGGCTTGTCGAAGCTGTGAACTGTTATTTAAAACCCATTGGGACTGTCATATTTATTAACATAATCACTGGCATTTCTCTATAATTTAGATGAGGTCTTTAGGGCTTAGAAGAACAGCAGCCAGAATACAGTGCTAGCCATGATCCCATTATCGGAAGACAACCCCTGTCCATAGGAACATAATCCCTGGCTCATATAGCATATTAAAGTAGGCAAGAATTGCTTCCTCAGTTACAGATGGGAAAACTGAAGATAAGAAAGAAAAAAGTGACTCAGAAAGCAGGATTCCCTTCTTCCATCAAGCTGTAACATCTTGCAGCAAAGGGAAGGCTGAGAGACAACGGATTACCTAAATATACGGTCATGTTTATGTATCCAAAGTGAGAAGATCATGGGTGGATTTCTCCCGTATATCAGTGCTATGACAGTGGAGGTTTGTCTCAATCACTTTAACGGCACTTCTTGTTTTCACTTCATTATCACTTTGGCCCATCCTGGCATCATCCCATACTTGAACTGTTTGGCCCCTTCCTCCTGTTTTCCTCAGAGAAGGGGAAGTAAATAGAAGTTGACATGAGCTCCGGAAAGAGCTCAGGGCAGAACAAGAGTGGAAAGTACTGTGGCTCATAGAGTGGAAGCACAGCAGTGTTGTTTCCTCAGCTTTAGAAGCTGTAAAATGGCAAGCAGCAGAGCACAAACGTGTTGTCATGACAATGAGTGTGATAAAAAATGGGGGTTTCTCTGCATGGTTAGTGCGTTGAGAGAAAGGTAACCAGGAGAGCAATAAACACTTGATAGATTTCACTGTGTTGAGGAGCAAAGCAGCACAGAGTCTGAAACATAATTACAGACGAGACAAATTATCTGTTATTGATTAAATGATCCAAACTTTCCTATCTGTATTGATGGCACTAGTGCTCTCGTGCCATGAGGCACAGAAAAGGGTCTGTGTAGGCTGTTTCCACAGTCCAGCTTAGGTCTCGTGGACTAATCTAAAGTCCTCCTAAATTAGCAAAATCTTCTCCAGAAAAACAAAACCTATTCTACAGGCTAAATGACCGTCCGTAGAATGAAATATGAGGGTTACAGTCTCACCATGCAGATCTCCACCCAGAACGTGGACTGGATTATTGAGCTTGTAGGGAAGAAGCATCAGGACAGGTTCCTTGATGAGAATGATTACTTGGGGGAAAACTTACGTGTGGCAAACCCCAGGCTGGCTCGTTACAAATGGGCTTAAGAGGGGAATTGTGATAGTAACAGTAGTTGGACTTTCTGTTTACTCTTCTGCCTGCTTACAGGCAGTAAGCAGTCTTTGCAACACTAACAGCTACAGAAAGTTCCAGAATACCTCCCTCATGCCCCCTACAGCGCTTTCAGTCAGGGGCACTTTATTCAATATCAAGCAGTTATGTGTCCTCCCAGTGATAACAGACTCCCTGACCCACAAGACTCTCCAGAACCTGTGCTGACCAGCACAGGGGATCGTCGGACATGCAAAGAGTCAGCAACGTCTGCCTGGTCAAGATCCCAACTCCCTGCCCTACCTTAGCAGGCTATGGGTAAACAGAGATGAATTAGGAAGGGCAGGCATGGAAGCTGAGGACCTACAGTCACATCCTGCCCTCTGTCTTCATGCACCCACCCTGTACAGGGGAAGCTATTCCAGCCTAACCTAACACCTGCAGACTGACTCTTCTGCAAGGCTGCAATGTCACACAACCCATCCAGCCAGGAAAGGTGCAAGAAGTACCTCTGGATCAAACACATCACAGAATCATAGAATCGTCAAGGTTGGAAAAGACTCTTAAGATCATTGACTCCAACCATTAACTTATTACTACCAAGTCCACCATTAAACCATGTCCTCAAGCACCATGTCTACCCGTCTCTTAAATATCTCCAGGGATGGAGACTCAACCACTTCCCTGGGCAGCCTGTTCCAGTGCCTGACTACCCTTTTGGGGAAGAAGTTTTTCCTAGTATCCAATATAAACTTCCCCTGGTGCAGCTTGAGGCCGTTTCCTCTCATCCTATCACTTGTTACTTGGGAGAAGAGACCGACCCCCACCTTGCTACAGCCTCCTTTCAGGTAGTTGTGGAGAGCAATAAGGTCTCCTCTCAGCCTCCTCTTCTCCAGACTAAACAACCCCAGCTCCCTCAGCCGCTCCTCGTAAGACTTGTTCTCTAGACCCTTCACCAGCTTTGTTGCCCTTCTCTGGACACGCTCCAGCACCTCAATGTCCTTCTTGTAGTGAGGGGCCCAACACTGAACACAGTACTCGAGGTCCGGCCTCACCAGTGCCGAGTACAGGGGCATGATCACCTCCCTGGTCCTGCTGGCCGCACTATTCCTGATACAAGCCAGGATGCCATTGGCCCTTTTGGCCACCTGAGCACACTGCTGGCTCATGTTCAGGTGGCTGTCAACCAACACCCCCAGATCCTTTTCTGCCAGGCAGCTCTCCAGCCACTCCTCCCCTAGCCTGTAGCGTTGCATGGGGTAATATGGTACAGCCTAATGCCTTGAGACTGGAAAAGAGGTGAAAAATGGAGAGAAGCAGGAGAATAGAACTCAACAAAAGTGCTAATGAACACACACGCTAAGTGTGAGTCCTGGCACAGTACCCTCCACATCTCTCGCAACCCCACTACTTATCCCGGCTTTCTTTGCAGCCTGCTCTTCCCCTCAGGCTGGGTGAGTTCAAATTGAAGGGACAGTGTACAAGTCTGACAGTCACAACCTGAAGATCCTGGATGCTGACCACTGCAAGAAGCCAGTGCCTACGAAAAATTCCGAGCGTATTACTTTTGTTTACCTATTTCCCTGTTTAATCAGACCAGGGACAATGGGAACACCATGCCATGCCCTGACAACAGGCTGCCCCAAAATGTACAGTTCTCTGGCTAGAGGATTCCTTTTTTCTTTTCTCTTGTGTTCATGAACTATTTACCTTTGATCCTAAGGAAGCAGATAATGGTTCTTTTTGAACAAAGACAAACTGATAGTAATAGACCTCTCAGTTCATAAGAGGGTTTTCTTTGTTTTCAAGTCAAAACCCGCTGGCTCGGATCCAGCCAGCTGTCTTGAGTTTCTGGATGTGGCTCTTGAGCAAGGTTTTAAAACTACATCCAGCATAATTTAATTGATGAAGATTAATATTTTTTAGCTTTGCAGGGAAAACATATCAAACAATAAGGAACGATGGAGGCCAGCCTGCCATATTTAATAAACTGTGTGGATCAGCCTGTCCATGGGCCTTCTGTTTTTACAAAAATAAATCTCTAGCTAGTCTACTCCAGTCTCAGTGTTGTCTCTCTCTCTCTCAAAGCAGGCAGCCCTTGCTATGTTGAAATCCAAAAGCAGGAATAGTCCATACCTTTCTGCTTGAGCGTGGCTGATCACATTTGTGTTCTGCTTCATAATGTTGGGGATCTCTGCTGCTTCTCTAAGGCTACTCCATAGCCTACTAGATCACAGTAGGAGGAAGTTTTGCTTGATATTCCTCCTTCTTCTTTGGCTGGCCTAAATATGTTCAGCTGTCTTATTCAAAGCCATTCTTCAGGACATCTCCCATTATGTTGCTAACCCCACTCCCTTTCACACAAGTTCTTCTCCATCCGTGTTCATTGCAGTCCTCTTCAGCAGTACAACAGGGCTGATCTCTGTCACATAGTGTTTATTTTCTTTCCCGTCACAGCTCACCTGAGCCCCTTTTCTTCTTGCAATCATCTTCCTGTGAAATTAAGAACACATGCAGTCAATCAAATTTTCAAAACTAGGTCCTGTTTTGAAGGCACACCTGCTTTCAAGCCCAGCAGGGCACACCATAGGTCACTGCTGTGGATGTTGGGAATGGTTCCTGCTGCCATCCAGGCACCAGAGAGGGAGTCCCAGCTCTTCTGATCTCAATTGAAGGTAAGCTTTCATCTCTGATGAAACCAGAATTCCCACACTGAGAATGTGTCTCGCTTCCCCTTGGACAACATAAGTGAACATTGGGGTCTTACCTCTCAATTTTGCCACAAAGGCCTTACAGGTATTTTGACTCTTCTCTTTGAAGTTGCCTTTTGTTTCCCAGTTGCCATTAAGAAATGCACTGTTCTGCCGACCATGAAGGATGTCAAGGACTTGGAGATCCAATGTGGCTGGAAGAATTTTCCTTCCTGGCCACCTTTCTCCTCACGGTGTCACATGCCAGACAGGTGGCCACTGTGACCACCCCATAAAAACAGCAAGAATAAATGATCATTACTCACCTGGCAGATCAAGCTACAAATTGTCACGGTGTTTACCCAGAGAAAGAAGAGTGGACTCCCTCGTTTCAAAGCAGGGTCTGGGCTGCGTTGTGAAGGGAGAGAGCCAGGCTGATATGTTGTGGGTAGCACCCACAGACAGACTTTCTCCATTTCACTCACCAAAACAACAGACGTGGGAACTTCTCAGTGAGGAAACTACCAATTGATTTGTATTGCATCTAGGGAAGAGAGACAGCAAATATTTTCTGTAACGGCACTACACTGTGCCATAAGTAGCTCGTGGCACTAGGACTAACAATGTCCCAGTTATTAGCTTACTACTCATACTGGAGGGACAAATCTTACACTACAAAAAAATGCTATTTCTTCCTATTCTGCCACACATATAAGGAAATCACTAGGAAGGTTTTTACTTCTCTCTTCTAAGTGGAAACTAAAGCATGATTCCCATTTTTCTGGCTGTTTAATACCTGTAAAAATAACATATATACTAAAGTTCACCACCTCCAGACAACAGGCCACTCTTCTTACACAAAATTTTACTGCTCAGAGAAGTCACACAAGGGTTAAATGACTTGTCCAAGGCTGGGAGCACATAACCAAGTGGGGATTGCAACTAAGGGGCAACCGGGCTCCTTTCCTGTTCAGTCACACTGCTGTCTGCACTGCGATGATTTCATTCACCAAAACATGGTCATGGACAAAGAACGGACTCTGCAAAAACAGCCCCTTATCTGCTCCTGCCTGCCTCTTGTCCAAGTCATGTGTGATTAGTTTACTGACACAAACACCACGCTGGAGCCAAAGCAGCTGCAGGAGCAAGCTGTGCTCTGATACAGTTCATGCCTTTACAGCAGTGTAAGAGCAGTAGCTATGGTCTAGCTGAGTCCAGGAGCTTTGCTGTTTATAGAGCTGGAAGAAAATTGCAGCTTGATTATAAGGTATCAAGTAGACCTGGTTGAGCTGGAAATAAAAAAAAAAAAAGTCAATCCTAATTTGTAACAATAACTGCAGTGAGTATGAAATAAAGATTAGCTGTAGGGAACAAATACAGGAGAGAAATGTAATTCCCAGGAGATGTTTTAACTTGTCGCTTTTTTCTTTGTCGATAGGAAACAAAGGGGTTCGAAGTGCTTGGGGCTAGGGAGACTAGGAGTAGGTGGCAGCAGAGCGTCTATGTGCCATGACTCCAACCAAATGTATTTTAAACAATTACTCCTGTGAAAATTAAAACTGTGGGAAGTTTCATTTCAAATAGGTCTCTGCTGTGTGGGTTCTTCAATATCTGCTGTGAAAGGAGCTCTGCAGCTGCTGTTCCCTAAGCGAGGCACTATTAGGCTCTCTTCCCTCCACCCATCTCCTATTTCCATTAACATTTCCAGGAGCTTATTCTACTGAAGATCTTTTGTCCTCTGTCAGCCTTGGTTGAAACTAGCCAACGGGAGGAAAGACCTGTATGTGCAGACATCATCGAGAGCATGAGTTTGTAAGTCTTGTTTCCTTGAGAAGACAGGCTAGAATCACCATCACGCTTTGCAGTCATCCCATCAGCGTTCATTCCTGCCACTAACAGGGAGAGTGGAAGCGTGGGTATGGCACACGCCATGTTACAGACCTCCTGTCATGCTGCTGCAAGGTCCCACCTTTCAGACAGAAGCTACACCAGCTTTTCCAATGCAGGTGTTTTGATTCCAGGTTTAAATCTCAAGTCCATGCTTTTCCCAGTTTCAGCTCCAGTGAGCTCGTTGGAGACCCTCATCTTTTACTTCCTTATAGGCATACAATGTGAAAAACCAAGCAAGCACACCCCAAAGGCTCCGAAAAAAAAACCAAAAAACAGAGAGCATTTAAGACAGACCTCAGTTTTTCTAAATGTACAACGTCAAGAGTTTTAGGCCAGTAGAATTCTTCTGGGGATGGGATCTTTGCACTGCTATAAAAAGGTGTTTGGTGTTAATTAACCCAAGACAATTCCCCAATACTGCCTTAGTCCACAGTAATGGGGTTATAGATAGACCTTTTTTAATGCTACATCTTCTGACCTGATAGGACAGTCAGATTATTAGGATGTTGCCATGGTACCTTTTTATTTTTTTACTCTACTTGCTCATATTTATAAAGAATCTTTGAAAACTGAGACTAAAATCTATTTTCCCTTTGTCTGGCTTCTTAGCACTTACACTGAAATATGATCCACTAGGTAAAATGTTATTCATTACCAATTATTTTAGAAGAGAAATGGTTTAGCTGATAGAGCCTTCAGAATCATGTTTATGTATTCAAAGGGCAATTCATTAAACAG